GCCATTAGTCACACTTTCTCTTTCTCTTTACACATTTAGATTCTGCATTTTGGTCTTGCTAGGTCTCAGTTGTTGCCCTTTTGTGACTTTTCCAGATAAGAACAAAATTGACATTTGGCATTTATCTAATCTTGAGATTTAGCACCACGCTTTAGACAAAAAGTTCTGAATTTGAGTGATACAAATATTCTCATCAAAGATAAAGTGCCTCTTAAATGGCATTATTAAGAATCAGTATAATTCATCTGTGCAATCATCATTACATTATTTTGAAAATTTTTAATAATGGTAAGAGAGGTGTGTGTTATTTCGACTTTTCTGAATCAATTTATAAAGTATTCTTTATTCTCTGTATTCTTTTATTATTTATTTATTTATTTTTAATTGAAGAAGACAAAGGATTGGTCATCAGTTGTGCCTTTTCTTTTGTGATTATGCATCATGTATCGCTTTTAGATGCAATTCAACTTTTAGAAGTCAATGTTCTGTTAACTCCCATTTATCATCATATTTTACTGTATTAAATACCAATTTCAAATAAATGATTTCCATCTCAGAAAGAGATTACTAATTAAATAAGGTTCTTTTGCTGTAAGATGGAGTTTGCAGACTTAATGAAAGTATGATAATTGGATGTTGTAACATTTTCTTATAGAGCTACTTGACATTTGTAAAAAGAAGAAGAAAGGTTAATGGAAAATGATTTTTAAAAGAAAACATAGCATAAAGTGAAATATATTTTGGTCAGAAATCCTTCTTATAAAATATTATCACTTGTACATCTTCATCTTTATTTAACCAAAAAAAAAAAAAAAAAGGAAGAAAAAGTGAAATAGAAATCTCTAAGCAAAACTTTAAAGTTACTAAAAAGTTACTACAAGCTGAGCAGACCGACACAATGCTGAGAAATGCACTATTAAAATGTAGACTTTTTCATTTGACACTTCCCCCAAATGTCTCAACACATCTACAGACAGTTCAAGTCCAGAGAAGGGCGACCAAGATGGTGAGGAGTTTGGAGAACAAGTCCTACGAGGAGCAGCTGAGGGAGCTGGGCTTATTCAGCCTGGAGAAGAGGAGGTTCAGGGATGACCTTATCACTCTCTACAGGTACCTTAAAGGAGGCTGTAGCAAGGTGGGGGTTGGTCTGTTCTTCCATGTGCCTGGTGACAGGATGAGGGGGAATGGGCTTAAGTTGCACCAGGGGAGTTTTAGGTTGGATATTAGGAAGAACTTCTTTACTGAAAGGGTTGTGAGGCATTGGAATAGGCTGCCCAGGGAAGTGGTTGAGTCACCATCCTTGGAGGTCTTTAAAAGATGTTTAGATGTAGAGCTTAGGGATATGGTTTAGTGGAGGATTTGTTAGTGTTTGGTCAGAGGTTGGACTCAATGATCTTGAGGTCTCTTCCAACATAGAAATTCTGTGATTCTGTGATTCTGAAAGTTATGTGAGAATTCCTTATTACGTGAATTCCATGTATTTCATTCAACTGTACTACAAGACAATGTGTCTTTGTGGAGGGTTTTTTCCTTTGGTTACCTCTTCAGCATTAAACAACATGGCAACTTTAACTGGTTTGAAGGCTCAAGGCTAAGGAACAAAGTGTTGAATAAAAGAAAAAGATGTACGATTTTAATTACATCTTTATATATATGTATATATATATATATATATATGCATTGTAAAAAAATTAACTTTAAAAAATATTCAGTGTTTTTACTGAAAGAGAAACCACAACATTTATTTGCAATTGAAAAATATATTTGGTAAATAAAATTGGGGCTTATGAGTTAATGTATTGCATGAGATAAAACTTTCATATTATCCCTTTTTGCTATCAATTCATCTACTAAGTCTTTTTTTTTTAAAAAAAAAAAAGAAAAAAAAAAGCTTGAATATACAGACATCTAAAGCATTCAATTTGTGACTTTGTGGCAGAGCTATAAATACATAAAATACCTATGTACCAAGGGGGAAGAGAGCAACTGTTTGCAGGAACCAAGGATTATTGCACATCTCCAATCACCCACAATGTCAACATTCATACAGTAAAATGGATGATGATAAAAAAACATACACCTGAGGGGAACACATTATCTAAGGCTAACACAAGCGGCATAAATACTTCATTACAATGGAAATTGTGCACGCTACATGACAGCATAGAAAGTCAGTTGAGGCAGGCCATTTTAATTCTTACTATTTTTTTTAATTTATTTTTATTATATGTATTTTATATATTTTTATCTTTATATATATATATATTATATACATTGTATATATTATATTTTATATATTATTTTTTATTTTATTAATTTAAAAATGAAATTTTTGTTTTAATTTATGATCACAGGTGTTTTTAATCATTTCACTACATTAGGTTTCTCATTAGCTGTTACTAATAATTTCTTATGAAAAGCATAGTGCCCTTGTGACATTACAATATAGAGTTATTAATAATGCTAGACGACTTGAAAGCCACCCTCTCTATTGTCAAATCACAACTTGAGAAAGTCTGTTTTTCTACTATACTCAGCTTCTCATGAGGTCCTCCTCAGAGGTCACTCAGCCTCTCCATGATGTCCTTGCATTTTATGCAAAGTGTGGCTTACATAATGAATGTACACACAAACTTCTACAATGTTCTTGCAAAGAAACAGTGAATTTTGGGTGAAGATGGGATAGCAAAGAAGCAGGACATCATTCAGTAGGAGGTTGACACCTATAAGGCTAAAAAGCTCGAATGATGTAGGGATGTATCATTAAACTAAAAACCAGAACTGCATCAATATAGCTTCTACAGGTAAAAGGTGTCCTGATGCATGTTACTAAACTGTATGTGTTTACCACTATTTTTTATTTTTTTGCTTTTTGTTGTAAATGACACCTTTACACTAGCATAGTATGAATCTGATTATTAAATCTAAGTACCATTGTAGTAATTTAAGAAAACTGGAAGGAAGATGACTAGAATAACTAGCCTTCCTCGTCGTTACATGCCGTCCTCAGTAGCAGATGTAGTGATAATGAAAGATGGCATGCTAGTATAATTTTTCCTGTCTTAAAATATCTCACTTTAATTTGACAGTTATGAAAACAGTAGGACTTGAACAGTTCAATTTCAGACTAAGTATTTTTGATGTTCTGAAAATTACTTCCTGTGAAAGAAGGATGAATAGAAGGAATGTACTCTCTTCAGCTTTCTATTTGCTTAGCACAGGTACCACCAAAAGTACCAACACAGCAAACAGAAGGTATAAAATCTTGGCTTCTCTGAAGTAAAAGGCAAATCTCCCACTGACTTTAGTGGGCCAACATATTTCTAAAACTGTGTTTAAAATCACAGCTGCCAGAGTGTGAGACACCAGTTCTCTGATATGAGATGAAGGCAGATCGGATGTACGTGGTAGTCAGAGCAGAACATTGAACACTGTTGTTTCATGGAAAAGTTAATATGATGTAAAATGTAGACATTTTCCAACTAAAAACAATGGACATTTTGTTTCTTTAATTTGGCATTATTTTCTCATATTAAAAGATAAAAGGATGATGAATTACATTTTGTAAACACTAGAGCCAATCAATAATTATTTTTTGCTAATAAACTACAGTGAAAATGGATTCATCCAAACCAGAAGTTGTACTTCAGAAATAAATATCTAGGAGAGTACTGTATGTTAATAATAATTATTATTCTGGCTCTTTGGATATTAGTTTCTTCTTTTGTTGCTTTTGGGTGGAAAACAATGGGAAAATATTTCTTCAACAGGTTGAAACAAGTCAGCCTGTCACCAAGTCTTCTGCCATATCTCAAGTTCCAGAGATTTCCAATTTAACAAAATAAATGCCTAGACTGATAAATAAAGGCAAAAGACTAAATGTTAAAACTAAATATATCATTATAAAAATTTAAAATTTTATTTTGAATGTTATTTAAATTAAGTATCATGTCAACACAGACAATCTTTGTATTTTTTCCTTCATATTTATTGCTCTCAGAGGCTTCCTTCATTTATTGCTTTTTCCATTTCAGTTAGGTAATTCTGGTGATATTGGTACTAGAAGCTACATATGGTTTTGGGCAGCTGTAAAGGGTAGACCCTCTGTACTTACTGAATGCCTTTGTATGAGCTGTTGAAACATGCTTTTCAGACATATGAATGCTGTAGCTGATCCATATTCTACAGTAATTACAGTCTCAAAATAAATTGGAACATGGCAGTACATGACTTAAGAATCCTATGGCAGTACAAACTGCTGTGCATATCTTTGTGTAAGCCCTTTAAGACTGTCTCTGAGATTCCAATATGCAAGTAGCAAAAGATCATCTTTCAAACTCTTTTTAATTCCAAATATAATAGTTGCATGTTTTGTGGCTGATTGGAGTTATATGAGTTTGCTAATATCTCTGAGGCACAGGCAGGTGTAAGGAGGTAAGAAACAATACACAAGCAAAAAATTTGCTCTTCCGTACTTACAGGAAAAAGATTCTGCTGATGAAATTCAGCTGCTTGGCTATTAGAGGGTTGCTATCTCTATATTATTATTACTATTATTATTATTTTTAGAAAATCTGTGATATCCTACCCATTCTCAGCTCCAACATTTCATCATTACCAGGACCTGCTAGTCTAGTGCAGCACCAAAAAAAACACATAGGCACATATTCTCTTTTCCTTACATTTAAAACTTCCTATGTTCCCTAGAGATCACTCTTGTGGAAGAGCTGGACTGAATACAGTTAAATCACAGACTATAAATAATACAAGATTAATCTTAAATGCTACTATTTTTTCATTCAGAGATCAGCCTCTAAAACAAATACATCCTGTCACAATCAAGCTTATGAAGATGTGATTCTGTGATACAGTTTTACAAAACCTTGAATATTATAATGAAAATAAACAACCAAACTAAAAAAAAAAATAAAAAAGTTTCATTTAACATTTATAATCAATACTGCTGTCATAGCAAAAAATAAAAAAATAAAAAAAAATACCTTGTATGCCCCAGCTTACTTGCAGACCAACAGAACCTGCAATGTAAGAAAATAAAAAAGTCTGCAAAATTAGTTATTGAGTACATATATATATGCAGAATATATTTTTTAGACTTTATCTGTTTTCTGACAGTTTAAAAATATATTCATGTTTTGAAAAAAATAAAATAAAAAACATTCACAAAGTATATATAGTAAATAATACGTTTATGTTACATGCATATTGTCAAAGTCAGCTAGTTATCCAAGATTTTTAATTTGGCAGTCAACAGTCTCTCTCTCTCTGGGAGTTGGTGAATGTTTTAGCAGTCTGACTGGTTTGTTTTTTGTTTTGTGATACCTTTGAAATGATTACTGTATGAAGTCAATGTCTTGAGTATTACCTATCTTAAATGGAAAATAATAATAATAATATTTTCCCCCCAAAACATAAATGACAACAAGGTTTCATATCTATAGAAATTATTATATTTTTTCATTATTTCTGTCACCTAGACCATTCTTCCATTCTTAATCACAAACCGAAAACCTCTCTGCACTGGGTTTGGGGGGAACAGCAAGAAAACAGAAATGAAAATCTCAAAAAATAAGAAAAAAACAATTTCCCTACCACAAAAACCTCACATTCTGTTTTCATCTTTCATAAAGTGTGTTTATTGTAATGTTTCCAGATTATTATTTTTTTTCTGGATCAAATGATATGCAAGTTCATTCTATGTGTAAGAAATTAAACTTTCCAAACTTTGAGCAAATATGAAGACAAGACTAATAAATATAGCATTCAAAACTATGTTTTCATATCAGTACTTTTCAGAGGGCTACACTGTTTAATTTCCCCTTTCTAATTTAACAAAGACAAAGACAAATACCTGTATTATGAAAACAAAACAACTACCACCACCACCACCAAAAACAAAAATAAACAAACAACCCCCCCCCCCCCACACACACACACAAAACTTTCTTGAACCTGAAATTGTAGCATCAGTGATAAAATGCTTCTCTTTACTGAAGGAAATTGAATTGCCTATAGCAAGACTCATCATGAGCTCAAATCAGTGATCGCATATTTCCTATATAGGACATTAACCTATATGGTTATAACCCATAATCTAAATAATCTATACCATAACCATAATCTAAAACAACAAGGTACTATATTCCTTATTTATTTCGCATTAAGTAGCAATACAGAAAATGGCTAAAGCCTTTTCAAGAGTAAAATGTATAAAAACAGCAAGGAACTCACACTCATAAAGTGTATGATGACTACTTATAAAAATAAAAGTGCAAGGATCTGTCTTAGTACAATAAAATTAATATATGTGATCCTGCATTTGTACTTTCACCTCCCTGCATGAGACCAAAGGAAATATCTCCTAAAAGATATTGTAGTTTGCAGAATATACTACTGATGTGCAAAGAAAATACTAGAAATTTTGCAGGTTAACGAGTTAGACTATGGAAATAGAATCATAAAATCATAGAATATCCCAACTTGGAAGGGATCCATAAGGGTTCAAGTCCAACTCCTGGAACCACACAGGTATACCCAAATATTCAGACCATGTGACTAAGTGAACAGTCCAAATGCTTTTTAAACTCCAATAGGCTTGGTGCAGTGACTACTTCCCTGGGGAGCCTGTTCCAGTGTGAGACAACCCTCTCAGGAAGAACCTCTTCCTCATGTCTAGCCTAAACCTCCCCTGCCTCAGTATGACACCATTCCCGTGGGTCCTATCACTGGTGACTAAAGAGAATAGACTGGCGCCTTCCCCTCCGCTCCCCCTCATAAGGAAGCTGTAGATTGAGATAAGGTCTCCCCTCAGCCTCCTCTTTTCCAGGCTGAACAGGCCAAGTTACCTCAGCTGCTCCTCATACGTCTTCCCCTCTAGGCCCTTCACCCTCTTTGTAGCCCTTCTCTGGTCACTCTCCAACAGCTTTATGCCCATTTTATACTGTGGTGCCCAGAACTGCACACAGTACTTGAGGTGAGGCAACACCAGCGCAGAGAGCTGGACACTCACTTCCATTGACCAGCTAGCAATGCCAAGTAAAGAATACTATTCTCTAGAACGTTCACTGGAAAATATAAATCAAAAGTGCTTCATGTTTAATAAATGACATTATATAAATAAATAAAGATGTAGTCATTGTCTCCTTTCCCGGCAATTTCAATTTCAGTTTAACAATCCCGTTAGCATAATTATTAGAACAGCCAGTTTTAAGTAAGAGGACAAAAATACAAGGAGAGAATGCAAGAAATCAATCTTATCACAGTATCAAAAGTCAAAATAAAAACAGGGTTTGCGGAGTTATGATTATGATATAATTATGATTTTTCGATAGACTATTTCAATGTCTTATTCCTCACCTATGAAAAGACACTTATCTGAGGCAGGACAAAAGAGTACCATTAATGCAAACACAAAGATCTTGAAAGATTTACTGTCCTTGCACACCTTTGTATGGTGTTGGATTGCTTTGACTAAACAGAGAATTTCTCTGTCCTTTAGAAAACAGGACAAAAAATAAAGTGTGACTATACAAGGAGAAATGAAAAACTCTATATTAAATCACAGAATCATTTAGGTTGGAAAATACTTTAAAGAACATCAAGGTTAGCCATCAACCTGACTTATCAGTGACCTTTACAGGTCTTCATAGATGATTCTTGTCTTAAATGCTACTTTGTGGAAAGATTTCAAGAATACTCATAAATTGTTAGTTGATATATGTTACTTTCATGTGCACACACATACATCACAGACAATTGTGATGTACTACTCTGAATAAGTATCTGAATGCATGTAAAATGTATGCACACAGCCAAAGCCAAAAAGATTTTCAATGACTTTGGTAACAAAGTACAGTACATATCCAACAGGGAGAGAATGAAAAGTAAATCTCACAATGTATGTTTGTATTAGTTATGAAAGTGATTTTCTCATGCAGAACTGTACAGGAACATACTGGCAAAGAAAAAAGAAGGCTTCTGGAAAGAAAAGGCCTTAAGTAAGTGACATTTCATTGAACAGTCTGTAGAAAATCACAACTCCACAACATCTGTTTCAACCCTTCAAATAAAATTAATTTAAGTACATAAATAACTTACAATGCACATATCAACATAATCAATAAGCAACAGAATCCTAATCACAACTGCCATTAAGATTTGTAGTGAAAGATAAGAATAAAGAGATAATTGCAATCAGAAACATGCTGAGTAGAAATAAATTAAAGTGGATTTTCAATAGTGATAAAGAACAAAGATGTCATGCAAACAACATTCAACAAAATTTGACTGTATGATATGCATCAAGGACAGATAACTTAGGAGGAATACAGAGAAATTGTACAGTCAGGGATCAGGTTAGTCTGTGCTTGCACCTGTACTGGGTCTGGCTGGAATGTTAACTTTCCCGGCAGCAGCCCATACAGTGCCGTACTCTGTCCTTGTAGCTGGAACAGCAGTGTTATCACACCGGTGTTGTGTCTACTGCTGAGAATCAATAGCACAGCATTGGGCCTTTCTCTAACCCTCCTAAATGGTGGGCAAAAAGTGAGGAGAGAAACATCACAAGGGCAGCTGACCTAAACCAATCAAAGGGATATTCCATACCATGTGATGTCACACTCAGCAATAAAAGGTGGAAACAGGAAGAAGAAGAGGGGAGGGGTGGGCTGTCGTTGGGAAAATGTCGGTCCTCCTCTCGAACACTGGCTGCGTGCGTTGAGGCCTTGCTTCAAGGACGTGGTCAATCATCGTTCATTTGTGGGAAGTAGAGAGTAATTTCTTTCCTCTGCACTTCCATATAGCCTTCATTTATTTTGTTTGTTTTCCTCCCTTCTTTTTATTTTTCCCTTTTCCCCTCCCTTTTCCCCTTTCCCTTTTTATTTCCCCTTAGTTAAATTGTTTAGTTCATGGTAGTCTTTATTTAATTGTTATTATTATTTTCCTTTAATTAAATTATCCTTATCTCAACCCGTGAGTTGTTCTTTGCTTTACTACTCCCCCTCCTCATCTAAAGGAGGGGGAGTGAGAGAGCGGTTGTGGGGTTTAGCTGCCTAGCACAGTAAAACCACCACAGCATCCCAAAAGGCCAATTGCATCCTAGGCTGTATCAAAAGAGGAGTGGCCATCAGAGTGACAGAGGTGATTCTTCCCCTTTGCTCTGCCCTTGTGAGGCCTTTGTTAAATAAATATTTTTTTTTTTTTATTTGTTAAATAAATAAGGATAAAACAAAAAAAAAGTAAAAATAAAAAGTAAAAATTAAATCAAACTAACAAATAAGACTAAATGAGAAATATCAGAAAATACTGCAGAACAATAGTGCCCGATCATGCACTTGGGGCACAACAACCTCATATGCAACACTACAGGCAGAGTGGCTGGAAAGTTGTTCAAAGGAAAAAGATCTGGAGTGTTAGTTGATGCTCACCTGAACATGAGCCAGCAATGTGCCCAGGTGGCCAAGAAGGCCAACGGCATCCTGGCTTGTATCAGGAATAGTGTAGACAGCAGGACTAGGGAGGTAATCAACCTCCTGTACTCAGCTCTGGTGAGTCTGCACCTCAAGTAATGTGGTGCTCAAGTAATGAGCTTTGGGCCTCTCACTACGAGAAGGACATCGAGGCCTTGGACTGTGTTCTGAGAGATGGGCTACAAAGCTGGCGAAGGGTCTGAAACACAAGTCTTATGAGGAGTGGTTGAGGGAACTAGTTTTGTTTTGTCTACAGAAGAGGAGGCTCTGGGGAGACCTTATTGCTCTCTATAACTAGAAGTTGTGGGAAGCTGGGTGTAAGCCTCTTCTCGCAGATAACTATTGATAGGACTAGAAGGAATGACCTCAAGTTGCTCCAGGGGAGGTTCAGGTTGGAAATTAGGAGACATTTCTTTTCAGAAAGAGTTGTCAGTCATTGGAATGGGTTGCCCAGGGAGGTGGTTGTGTCATTGTCCCTGAAGGTGTTTAAAGAAAGGTTGAACCTGGTGCTTAGGTACTGGTGGTAGGGGGATGGTTGGACCAGATGACCTGGGAAGTCTTTTCCAGACTTAATGATTCTATGATGCTATGATTCTATGATTCTACATTTATTTTTACAAAATCACATAAACATCCTAAAATTGGCAGTACCAATACAGCACAAAAATATTTGCGTTTTCAAAGTAATCAAGGCAACCTTATTGATTTACACAATAGCATTTTTACCTTCAGAATCCTTGGGTACTCCCGAAAGTTCAGGCTAATTTTCATTTAAGCAGTACATTGGACTGGGTGGGGAATATGCATAAATCTCTCTCTCAATTTCACCTGCTATAAAAAGAAAACAATGCACCCTCATGCTGAATTCTTTCAAAAATATTTAAAGTGTATTTCATTGTTAAATGGGTGGATATCTGATTAGGAACAATATAAGTATTTTATTCAGGAAAATTATGAACGGATAAACCTAAAAGTTCATCACGTCAGCAACGTAATTTTAACATAGAGAAGACTTTAAACTTTATTAATCAAAAAGATATTTGCAATAATTTTAGTAACTAATTAAATAGCCACTTTTGAAACTTTTACTGCTAGATGACTCCCAAGATGTTGACTAGTGTTGTTTTATAAAGAAGATAGACTTGTTTTTGTTGGCAAGTTTGGAGAACAATAAAATAAACTGATATCCAATGTGTTTTTTTGTTTGTTTGTTTGTTTTTTAATATTACTTTATCAAAAAGTATTACTGATCTAAATTTTACTGTATACACAACTACATTATATATATATATATATACACACACACACACACACATATATATGTTCACTATTCTGTTGCTGAAATAAGTATAAATGGCCTGTGTAATTACACTGAGTGATTTGGTTGCTAAGTATTTAGAGGCCTTCAACTCAGGGAATAAGAAAAAATACTTTCATTTAAAAACAAAAAAGGAAACAAAAAAATATTTGTTTAGATTTAGATTTAGATTTAGATTTGTGTAGACCAAAGTACTGTTTACTAATGAAATCTATATTACAAACAAAGCAAACAAACATATTTTTTTTATATTTATTTGTGCTTGATTTTGAATAACATATTGACAGTAATATCAAGTATTTTATGATAGGAATGATATAATCCTCTAACAAAGCTGCTTACATACTCAAGGAGTGTTACAGGTTTACTGTACAAAATACAGTTTCTAATACATTTGCTTTTAGGTAATCTATTTCACAAGTCAGTACTGGTTTCTGTCTAAAGCACTGATAATCTTCTGCTTTGTTTTCAGCAGTAAAAGTAGGTTTACTGGTGTTTTTTCTTTCTTAGTGATCTTAATCATTGAAAAATAAAATTGTTATATAGGTGTTGAGTACTGTAGAAGTACATGAGAAATTTAATGGCAAATTTAAAGAAACACATTTCTTAAAAAAAATGGAGAAAATAAGACAAAATCCAGTCACATCAAAGCAGAAATCCAAATAAAAAGAGAATAATGAATGCTTGCCCAATACCCATATTCACTTACATACACAGCAACTTCCTGTAAAAGGAGAACCTCTACAATTACTCATCTAGGAAACAATTTTGCTAAATTTAAAAATGATATCATAGTGTTCAATGAATTTGATTGTTCAGGGCACTATAAGTTTTTGAACTGTTTATTGAATAGAGTCAAGTGCAAATTTTCATATTTACTTACCTAAAAATTAAAATAATTGGATTCTGAAGACAATATATTTCAAAGCATGGTGAATTTTAGAACAAAAACTGGAGCTTAGAAAAGTATAAAGGACAATATACTGTGTACTGTGATGTAAAAGTGAAGTTTTAATAGATGATTATCACTTTAGGACTCTTTTTTTTTTTGTAGCAATTCTACTAAGTATTTTGTAGAATTGCTATACACCCCTTAAAAACATGCTTTTTAAGGTTGTTGACACAGTCTAGGACATTTGAGATGATAAATTATTGTAGATTCGATTGTATTCTTCTTACATTGTTGCTTTTAAAAATGGAAATTTAATGATCACTTCTCTGTATTGTGAAATCTTACAGCATGAAATTACAATTCATTTCTTGCAGAGAGAATTGACTGTGCATCCATATTAAATACAACAGTATAATTTGACAGATCTTAGTTGCTTATTCAGTCTGTGATAATGTAAATTATAAATCATTATGCCTTAGGATCCTGTAGCAAACAATATTGTGTATATGTCCATAAAATGAGACAGCTACTCTAGGACCTATTTATGTCATGAATATTCTTTTAAAGAGAATAAGTTTTGAAGCAAACAACTTAACGTTCTGTGCATGCCAAACGCATTCCATTAATTTGTGTATGGTCATGACAGACGATTATTGTTTTTAAATATACATAGCCCTTTGGACTTCTAGGGAAACTGGTTTGATACTATTATTCCTTGGTGCTCCAATTGTTTGCTTGCTTAACAGCACTGTGAAAGGGCTGGAACACCTCTCCTATGAAGACAGGCTGAGGGAATTGGGGTTTTTCAGCCTGGAGAAGAAAAGACTCTGAGGAGAACTTATTACAGCCTTCCAGTACCTAAAGTGGCCTACAGGAAAGGTGGGGGTAGACTCTTTTATCAGGGAGTGTAATGATAGGACAAGGTTGGTTTTAAGTAGGACAAGAAATGGCTTTAAACTTTAGATTAAATACTGTGAAGAAATTATTTACTCAGAGGGTGGTGAGGCAATGCAACAGGTTGCCCAGAGAAACTGTGAATACCCCATCCCTGCAAGTGTTTAAGACTAGGTTGGATGGGGCTTTGAGCAAGTCAGTCTAGGGGAAGGTGTCCCTGCCCATGACAGGGGAATCCTGGTGATCTTTATCATCTCTTCCAACTCAAACCATTCTATGATTTCATTACTATGAGCAGGGAATGTAAAACCCCAGAAATTTATTCCTAGTTGCAGGGCAACATCTTTTTTACTGTGTACAGGATTCAGCAGGTAACTGCAGGACTAGAATGAATATTTACAATAATAAAACAGCAAATTCCATGTGAAAGAAGCCAAAAAATGGTTTGGAGAAAAATCATGCTTAGAGAAAGCTTATCGTCATTATCTCAGAGGACTTGGAAGACTGCTTTCTATTGCTAGTGACAAGTTTCCAGTATACTTCTGGACTCACTAAAGCTGTTTTAACAATTAATGTTCAAAATGTATGTTAAAGGCAACATTAAATATTTTACCATAGGCTGCTCATACCAATTCTAGGTGCTCTTGTGTAAAATGATCTGAGTATGAATCCACAGTGCAGTATTGTAGTCAGAAAAGGAGACTGTTTCCAGGGCTGCATTAACAAGATTGCAGAGGGCAGAATAAGGAACATAATTATGCCACTTTGTAAACAATTCAAAGAATCAAAGAATGGATAGAGTTGGATGGCATGTCTGGAGATCTAGTCTAACTCTCTGCATAGAGGATTAGCTATAACAGGTTTTTCATGACTGTGTCCAGACAGGTTTGAATATTTCTAAGGATGGAAATTCCACAACCTCTCTTCCAGTTTTTGACAATCTTTGCACAAAAAAATAATATATATATATAAATAAATATATCTATTATATGTATATGTATATATATAATGTATTGTATACATGATATATATTTATATATGTAATTTATATTTATATATTATATTTAACATATATAAATAAAATGTATACAATTTATTTATAACGTATATACATATAATATAATATATATAGTATATTTAATAATATATATTTTATATATTACATATGATATATAATATATACTATAATATAATAATATATTATATGTATATTTATATAATATATGATGTGTATAGATATATATTTCTTATGTTCAGATGGAATTTTAAGTTTATTATTTTTTGCAGAATTGGAGTCTGGCTCCATCTTCTTCACACACTCCCATCAGGTATTTATACATATAGATATGATCTCCCCAGTGATTTCTCTCATCCAGGCTTAATACTTCCACTCTCTCAGCCTTTTAATAAAGAATAATTAAATGCTTTGCATTGGAAGGGTCCCTTAAAATCACTTCCATGGGCAGGGTCATTTTTTCAATAGGTGAAGTTACTCAAAGCCCAGTCGAACCTGACTTTGAACACTTCCAATGATCAATGATGTTGCATCCACAGCTTCTATGGGCACTGGATTAGTGTCTCACTACAATCAATGTAGAAAAAAAAAAAAAAAAAAAAAGATTTCTTTCTATCCTGACTAAATTTACTGCTTTCTGTTTAAAATTGTTGCCCCTTGTCCTGCCACTACAGGCCCTTGTATGACCAATACTCCAGTCAATTAATGATTGATTAGAGCACAGCTGCAATATTGTACCCAGTTTTGGTCCTATAGTTCGGGTGAGACATTGAAATATCTGAGTGCAGCATCCACCAAGGTGCTTAAAGAGTTGGAGAACTTGACATCTGAAGACATATGGTTTGTTCAGACTGGAGAATAAAATGCCTTGATGTAAGTCTAACTGAAATTATCTAGTACCTAGAAAGCAGTTACAGAAGAAATGAAGGTACAAAGAGCAAGTTCAGGACCTCCTGATCCAATTTAACAACTACATGTCTATGGGGCCTGATGACATGCCTCCCAGAACCCTGAGGGAATTGGTTAATATAGTCACCAAGTCAACTCTGTCGTATTTGAAAAATCATGGCAGTCAGGCAAAGACCCCAGTGACTGGAAAAAGGGAAACATCACTCAAATTTTTAAAAGGAAAGAAAGAAAGACCCAGGAAACTACAGCCTGGTGGGCCTCACCTCTGTGCCTGGCAAGGTCATGGAACAAATTCTACTGGAGGCAAGGCTAAGGCACATGCAGGACAAAGAAATGATCCGAGACAGCCAACATGGCTTCAGCAAGAGCAAATCGCATCTGACCAATCTGGTGGCCTTCTGTGATGGAGTGACTGCATTAGTTAACAAGGGAAGACTAACTGACGTCACCTACTTGTATTTCTGTAAGGCTTTTGAAACAATCCCATAGGACATCCTAATCTCTAAATTGGAAAGATATGGATTTGAAGGGTGAATCATCCACTGGATAAGGAATTGGGTCGATGGCTACACCTAGTGAGTAGTGGTCAGTGGTTCTATGTTCAGGTGCAGGCCAGTGATGAGCAGTGTACCCCAGTCCTGTCTTGGGACTGGTGCTTTTAAATATCTTTATCAATGACAGAGATAGTGGGATTGACTACAATCTCAGCTAGTTTGCTGATGACACCAAGCTGAGTGGTGAGGTTGATACCAAAGCAGGAAGAGATGTCATTCAAAGGGACCTGGACAGGCTGGAGAATTGGG